TGGAATCAGAGTAATCGTAGTTCCCCTCAAAAGGGAGGTTAGAAACTTCTTGACTGTGGTCAAGGTCTCAGGGGGAATAAACATGTCTTAAGGACACGCTTACGCGGAGTGTAGAAACTCCAAATCTCTACGTTGAAATGTTAAGTTGTAATTAGGGTTAAATTAGGGATTCTACGGCGGGAAACCCTAAACTGAGCGCGGCGGCTCTTTGACCTAATGCTAGGGGTAAAATTGTAATCTTGCCTGCAGCGAGGCATTTGTGAAAATTAGGGTTTGTGAGGGTTTGGAGTTTTGAGGACTATTGGCGCGGTGACCAAAAGCTAGACCTAATTCCTTCGGCAGTGTGTAGTGTGACTGGAATAATTGATGAATGCGTGAGATGATTGAATTGCAAACAGAGAATAATGACAGAAATTAAAACCATACAAACAGAAATTTAAAGGCAGAAATTTAAAGCGCGATTATTAGATTCGCGGGGTTACATATGAGAAGCGGTTACAATATAGTAATGAAATTTAAATAAACCAACCATGCAGTAAGAGCTGCAAATGATGAACACTGTCAATAAGCAAGATTAAACGGTAATTGGACAAGTCAGGAGAAAAGGTGTAATATTGAAGATTTTTTTTGTTATTTTGAAAGAGATGTTAAATGAATCTAAAAAAAAAAGTAATGTTAATAGAAAATATTTTAAATTTAATCTTAAAAAGATTTTAACTTAGATATTTTTTAAAAAAAGATTTTTTTATGTTATTTATTAAAAAGTTTTTTATTATTATTAAATGAAAAGAGGTTTTAAATTTTCTTATAAAAAGGGTTTTTTTTTAGCTTTTATTTATTTATAATATTTACACAAAAAGGTTTTTGAAACAGTTTTTTTTTTTAATTATAAAAGTAAAATGATTCTTTTAAAAAAACAACTTTTTTAAAAAAAAACAAAAATAAAAAGTTAAAGAACAGATTTTTTTTTAAAAACAAGAAAACAAAAATAAAAAAGAGGGTTGGGCCGGTCATCACATCCGGACCCAACCCGGTCATGTTAATTGCAACAAAGTGCTTGTTAGGGTTTCATAACCCTGAAACCTCTTCCGCGGCGCCGTTTCTTCCCCTTCGTTGCCTTCGTCTCTCGCATCCTTGTCTCTCCCTTGATACCTCCTCCTGAAACCAAAACGAAATCCGGTTAAACAATGATGGTACAATGTTATTTTCGCTTACGTTTTATCCCGTGGGTGGCTTTCGGTGAAACGAGGCGATGATGATGCGAATCTGAGCCTTCCTGGGTGTTTGCCCGTCGTTGAGTGAAACGGCGCTGGCGGACTTCCTTCGGTGGGTTTGATCGATGGCTGTTCGTGATGGCTTTGGGCGAAAACTCTTCTTCTTTCGGTCTCGCGGTCGCTAGGGTTTTTGTGTTCTCCGCCGTTTTCGTCTAGTCTTTCTCTCTCGCGGCTACCCCCTTTTTCTTTGAGGTGATGTTGTTCTTATATACTTTCTTCCCTCGATTTTGAATGGGCCTTGGGTCTTCGATCTTTAATTTTCAAATCAAAACACGCTGATGATTGGATTTGATTTACAATCTGATATTACTAAACTTGATTTGATTTTATTTTGGGGTAATTCTGATTCGGTTTGATTGGATTTTGTTTTTTCGGATAGGTTTGATCTCATCTGATCTGAACTTTCCCTTTTCAGGATTCCCTATTCTCGGATATGGATTTGCCTCTGTGATTTATGAACTTGGTGCTTTGACTCGTTTTGATCCACCTGATACCGATTTAGTTTTCCTGATTTGGAATTGATATCTTCCTGCTATTTTTCTGATATGGTTCCTGGTTTTGTTGCAGATATGGATTCTTTTCCTCTTCTTCTTTCAGAGAGAAGCTGGTAGTTCAGATACGGTCGGATTGGTGTCGCCGAGGATGGTATACGGCGATGATGATGATGTTCTGAGCCTATGACACTGCTGTTGCCTTTGATAATTTCTGCTGGGTTCTTTACTTGTGTGAACTTGGTTTTTGAACAGGGTTTCTGGGCTTATGAACTGATATGGTTTTGTGATCTTGTTTCACTGATATGTTTGTTCTGAACCCTTTTCACTACTTCTGGTGTGGTTTCGTGAACTTGTTTCACTTCTGAACTGATATGTTTTTGATGGACTCGTTTCGTTCAGTTTGGTTATCAGTTGAAATTCACTCATTTTTTCTCTTCTTTTTCAGTGAATTGAGGCTGATGCTTCGGTCGAGTCAGAATGGCCGAGAAGGTTACGCGGCGATGACGACATCACAGTCTGAGCTACCAGGGCATCCGTTCTTGTTTCTACTCTCGATAATTGTTGAATTTCCATTGTTTTCGACGCTTGGTCGGGAGCTGGAGACACTCTAGTAGTTTCTCTCCCGGCAGCTCGAACCTCTGCCCAGTGATGAGTTTACTGAGGGCATGATTAAACACCTCAGCTTGGTGTTGTTGTTGATTCTGATGTGCCTTGCATATTTGGGATCCAATCTGAAGTGACATATTAATGTGATCATGTGAGCTTATCTGCTTATTTTGGTATGGCCTGTGGCTCTTTAAACTTCGAACCGGGCTTGACATTGCTGAACCACACCTAGTTTCTGTTTTCTGGCTTGACTTAGTTCTTTTCTTGTGGGATTGAACTTGCCGTAGCTCCTTGTTTTTTTAGCATGAATTCACATTCTGTTCTTACTCTTCGCTTTTCCGTTTTTTTGAGCTGTTTTGACCGTAATTGAATTAGCTTGCCATTAGCCTGTGATGAACTTTGCTGATGCTATTCGATTCTTGCATTTCAGGGCTGGGATTTTGGATGTGTGATTCTCTGATGGATGTTGCCGTTAGCTGCGAATTTCATTGGGCCGTGATGTTTCTAAACTGAGCCCACCTGATGGCTGTCTTTGATTACTACTTGGAATTTTCAATTACCTTTGGCTGTTTTATTTATGCAGCTTATAAACCATCTTGGCTTTGAGCTCTGTTACCAGTTTTGTACTGATGCTGTTGAACTTTTTGATACATTGCTTGATGCAGTTCAACATAGTTTGGTTTGTATTCATCTTTCTGTTCTGTTTGAACTTGATTTTTATGGGCTCACTTATGTGTTGCAAAGTTGATGCAGCTTATGCATTGCTTTGGTTTTGAGTTCTGAATTCTGAACCTAGTACTGATGCTGTTGTGGATTTCAGGTATTGAAAAAAATGACTCAGACCTGCCGGCATCCGGGTCTGAGTCCAACTTTGCCTTGGTATCAGTTTGGAAATCCAAGTCCCGCTTCTTTTATCACTTCTATCTCTCGGATGTCCCTCATGATAAGAACAGGTGTTACCTGATCTGACGCCAACGGCGCGGGTCGGTAACGGGGGTAGGACGCAGCTTCGGTTGTGCCACTCCCGACACTCGATGATGACGCTGTTCTGAGAGTGTCGAAAACAATTTCTAACCCATTCCTGCATTCTATTTTGTTTCTTTTTGACGTGCAGGTTGATCGGAGATTTTGCGGAGAAACTCACAGGACATCATGAAGAACACTTGGGGATGTTTAGGACTTAGGATTTTTACAATTTTGATTTTCTCTTTTGTAACTTGTAACAAAAATATTATGAATAAATTCAATAACATTTTTTATCCAAATCATTTCCTCTTTGTAGATCATGATAAAATATTATGAATAAGCTTCAAATTTCTATCCAAATTCACTTCACAAATTGTAATAATAATAATAAAATATTATGAATAAAATTCACATATTCTATTGAAATCATTTCCCAATTTCTTTTCCATGATTTAAATTTGCAAACACCTCAACATCCGATTAAACCTCACTAGTCAAATATCCTTGAATTAATTCGATCCAATCTTGCATAATAAGCTTAATACCTTCAACATGAATAAGTTCCATTAATCAGTCGAAGTTTTCACTGTTTTCCCTCTAAAATGGACTGGAAGATAGAAGAATGATTTCTTGTTAAAACCCTGTTCCACAGATCAGATTTTCCAACCCAAATTGATATCTTAACATAATCAAACCCACGTAAATAAACGCCTCAGGAATAAAACCTCATTAGGCCCAAAATTACGAATTATGCTTCAAAATGACCAAAACGCCCCTGGGGTATTTCCTGCAAAACAAAACGCACTTTATGACTGGTTAGTGGTTAGCAGATGCACAGATGAGATGCTATACGAAATGACTGACTAAATATAAGGGTAAAATTTGGGGTATTACAGACATGTTTCCATAAATTACAAGTTTGTGAACTCAAGTCTCTTTTTCCCCTTTGTGATTTGAGTTAGGATGTTGATTAGAACTTTATAGAGACGCGTGGACCAATAAGATAGGGAATCCACTGGAATGATTATATCACCCATATTTGTTGATTATTTTCGGGTAGTTATGAACAGGTGAAAAGTAAGGACAAGATAACCTGATGTCCTTACTTGTTTGATATTTTGGATGGCAGATTCCATTATACAACTATATCTTTTGAGATCATTCTATAATGATCTAAGTCTTAGTTTTATTTTTTGCGCCCTTGTATATGTTGTGTCATAGTTGTAGTTCTTTTCGGGCATGTAATATGTACAATGTTGCCACTAGGCAATTATGTATTTCAGTACCAACATTACAATTGTGTATAATATGTATTTTTAGATATGTATTATTTTTGGGTGTTACAATTGATGATAGTGCATTAGGGTGCAGTTTTGATGACTCTGATGATGAGATATTAAATGATGGAATTTATGAGGCTTTGGTAGGAGTAAGAGGATTTGTTGTTGGGGAGAATGATTAATAGGTGGATGAATTAGAAGTGGATGATGCAAGTAAAGTAAGGGTGGTAGACCTAAGAAAAAAGGGCCAAGGGAAGTTCCAACAAGAAAAGGGAATACCTCGCAAACAAAGGGTGGAAGAAGCCATGTATGTTGAAAATGAATTATCTAATGATGAAGATACAATTGATTTTGGGTTTATTGAAAGTAATAGAGGAAAAATGATAGATATGTGTCTGTCAGATTCAGATTATACATTTGAAGAGTTGGAGACTAGTGAGGATTCAAGTAGTGACTACTCAGATGAAGGAATTAAGGAAAAATATCCATCATTTGTGATGCCTAAGAAGCTTTTGGACTATAAGTGGGTTTTGGGTACCATGTTCACAATAAATGAAGATTTTAAAGAAGCAATAGCAAACTATGTTGTTAATAATGGTAGAGATTTTCACTTTATAAAGAATTATAAGACAATGGTTATAGTGGGATGCAAGGAAGGGTGTGAATTGGTTGCATTATGTTCCAAATTTTTAAATAAGGATGCGTGGCATCTAATAAAATTGATTGACACTCACTCATGCAAAATAGGGAGTTTAATGTAAGGATGTGTAACACTAAATGGCTTGGGAAAAAGTTGTACTCAACTCTTAGAGTTAATCCAACTATGAAACTTACTATAATATGTGAGAAAGTTCATAAGAAATATAATACTGGTATGAGTAGAATGAAGGCTTATAGGGCAAGGAAGGTAGCACTTAATTATGTAGAAGGGTCATTCAAGGAACAATATCTGAGGTTGTACGACTACATGCGTGAGTTTTTTAGATCAAATCCAAACAACACAACTAAGTTAAAAGTGTAACCAATTGAATCACAAAGTGAGGAAGCTGAGAAACATGAGAACTGTGTAAGTAAACCATTATTGCCAAGTTTTCAGTGATTATATATGTGTCTTGATGCTTGTAAGAGAAGTTATCAAGTTTGTAGACCAATAATTGGAGTTTATGGGTGTTTTCTCAAGCGTTATTATGGAGGATAGATTCTTACAGCAATAGGTAGAGACCCTAATGACCAAATGATGCCCATTGCATTGGCTGTGGTTGAAGCAGAAACTAAGAACTCGTGGGTTTGGTTTCTTGATCTTCTAGTTCGAGATTTAGGTGATCCACAAGTTTGAAAGAAATTCACCTTTATATCAGACAAACAAATGGTACAAATCACATTCACATAGTCATTAACATTTTAGCAACATAAATTATATGTTTAACTATTTTTCTATGTTTAGGGGTTGTTACCCGAATTGGAAGAATTATTGTCAGATGTTAACCAAATGTTATGTGTAAGACATTTGTAGAACAACTTTAGAAAAAGATTTCCTGGTAAGCAGTTGAAAGAATTGATGTGGAGGGCAGGCAACCAACAACAAGACTTCAAGGAAAGAAGTATCACGCCATTACACTCCAAACAAGAGTATCACCAAGAAGAGAGACTACACCATTTCAGGTACCAACAGTAGCTTTTTAGCCACCAAGAAGGACAACACCTAAGTTTTCTATAAAGAGAAAACAACATTAAAATATTAATTGTTATATTTTGCTGAACTATGACCATGTAGGTGTTTTTGTTTTTTTGGATTATAGATGGTTGACTTAGAAATATGTAATTTGAATCAACACTTTATGTTTTGGATGTTTACTATATATTTTGATTTGTTATTTAATTTACTTTAGATGATATTTGGTTACTTAATTAAAGATATTAAAGTCTTTTATGTTTCGTCAATGATGTCTACAATGTCTCTTAAAGTGTAATAAATATGGACACAAACTATGTCCTTACTGCAACATAAAATGTGACAGTATACTAAGTTGTTAAACAGCGGTTAATGCAGTCTCTTAAAGTGTGACAAATACATCCTTTAACTATTCTTTAATGTAACAAATATGTCATTTAACTATTCTTTAGTGTAACAAATATGTCATTTAACTCCTCTTTAGTGCAACATATATGGGCACAAACTATATCCCTACTGCAACAAATATGGGCAACATAAAATTTGACAGGAAAATTGGGCACAAAATAAGCATCACATTAAATATATTTACTACAATAACACATTAATATCTTGTCTTACAACACTAACATCAACATAAACCATAATCACTATTTATGGATCAACATACACATCAACATTATAATAATCACAACTAAAAATATTATGACAAAAATTAGCATCTTCAACATGTTCTTCATCATCTCTTTCATGTAGTAGTCATCTTCATGGATCTTTTTCTTTTTCTTCAACATTTTGATTTATGCGTCATTTTCATTGCATTTTGAACATCTCCTTTGAGTGTTGATTTTTGTTTTCCCTTCGCCATTGAACTCTTTTTCAACCCACTCAAAAAATTTACAGCCACAGTTTGAACCTTCACAATGTTAACATCTAACAGTTAGCATTATCCAATAAGACAAAGCAGACAATAGCAATAAACTTACCGCAAAGTTTCTGCAGCCCCAAAAAGCTTCCCGAAATTTCGTCTTTTCTTCCACATTGTTTGTATCACTGCCTTTGCTCAACAAGCACACCTTGGTTCGATTTCACCACGGCTTGAACTCAAAATCAATGAATTACAATTAGGGCTATGTGAATTTGACAAATATATACTGTATGAAGCAATTGTTAGAGAAAGTAGAATAAGAACTCTTTTAGGTCCTGATACATATATTCTAGGGATTTAATGAAGAAGAAAAATATGTTTCCCAATTATTTCAAGTAATATTCAAATGTATGTCATCTCAGCAGTTGTGCATTTTTGAAACGGAATATTTAAAAAAGACAAACGGTGTAGACATTATGTAACTTAAAGGATTTTCTTTTAGCAAAAAAAACGTAAAGGACCAATCTATTACAATTAATTATTCTAAAGGACCCTTGGAGTAATGTTTCCATGAAGATATAAAGTTTATTTAGTCTCTTTGAATAAAATTAGCAAACATTATCCAATTTGATTTTATCAAAACCTATTCAATTGAGTACAAACTACTACGTCATTCTTTATAATTGTAAAGAACATAAATAGTATATTTATTTATTAATAAAAAAAATTATGTAGGCAATGATATATTAAAAGACTGCACAAGGGGTGCAGCAACCCAGAACAAACCAAACTATTTCTTCCTCTATAAACACTCAAGAGGAACAGTATACCAGTCGTAAAAAGAACTACAATTAAATGTTCTATCAACATATAACCATTTCCAACTGAAAAACTTAATGGAATTCAGAAGATCTTCAATAGACTTAGATTTGTTGTCAAAAATAACATAGTTTCTACCATACCATAGAAACCACATTGTTGATGCCCACACGATTAAACCACTCGAGTTTCCTGTAGCTCCTTTGACAATTATTTAAAAATTCAAGAGGGAATCAAGACAGTTGTTACTTCTGCTGAAACTGACACCAAGCCAAATCTCGATACCTTTCCAAACTGCACCTGCAATAGCACAATACAAATACATGTGATTTATGTTTTCCACAGGACAAGCACATGATTTATAGCTCAACCCCCTCCCCCCTCCAACCAATATATTCCTTTTATCCAAAAGCTCCTTCGAAGCTATCATCTTCCTCAAAACTCTCCAAAGAAAAATAGGCACTTTAGATGGTAAACTTTCCTGCCACATCTTCTTGAGGCCACTTAACACTTCATCTACTACACTACTGCCCAACATGTCCTGAGACAAACCCTTATAACAGGAACCAACTGAAAAAGAAGAGTTATTATAAGAGGATAATGGCATAGTTGGTTCCCAAGAAAAAATATCAACACAATCACAGTTTGGCTTTTCTAACCCCAATATATTAATTAGATCCTCAATTTCCCTAGCTATAACTGAATCAAGGGGAAAATCAAGAAAACTCAGGTTCCATTCCCACTCTTCCCCTCTCCATTCTCCTGACCCATAAAACAACAAGAGTTAATAATGTACAAGAACAAATTTGGGAATATTTCCTTATGAGAGACTTCTAAAATCCACCTATTATGCCAGAATGACACTCTAACTCCATTCCCCAACTTACACCTTATATTCTCAACAAAAAAAATCCTCTTTTGTACTACTTCGTAACACAAATCCAAAAGGTCTTTCCGCCATATTTAATCGGTTCTCTTACTTTTCTTCCCTTCATAACTATTAATTTCCAAAGCTAGCCCTTTTTTTATCATACCTACTCTCCAATATCCCCTTCCACACACACACTCTTCTGAATTCAACAGCCTCATTTCCATTTCATAAGAAGGGCTTTGTTGAAATACCCTAAATCCTTGATGCCCGGACCATTTTTCTCTTTAGGCAAATAAATTGAGTTCATATCCACCCAATGCATTCTCCCCCTTGACTCATATCCTCCCACAAAAACTTACTTTGGATACCCTGCAGGATCTTGATAACTCCTACAGGAACTTTGTAGAACGAAAAGGCATACAACGGAAGAACATTAATGACAAAATTGATAAGGACTACTTTACCTTCAATAGACAACTTTCTCCCTTTTCCAATCGGCAAGTCTCCTTCTCACTTTATCAATGACTCCCTTCCACATGTAGGACTTCCTTGGACTATCATCTATGAACACTCCAAGAAAAACACACATGATCTTCATTGTCTACAGTGCAGAAAAGAAGAAGCTGCTTCCAAAAATTCTAGACTTAAGTTGACACCTCCAATTCTACTTTTTAAGAAATTCACCTTAAGGCCCGTAAGTAATTCAAACTCACAGAGCACTACTTTTATACACCAAAGATTACTCCAAATAGCCTCCCCATCATTAAAGTGTCATCAACAAACTGAGTAATGTTATAATGGACATTAGAGTTAACCCTAAATCCTTTATATAAACCTTTATACTCTGGCTTCTTTATCAATTGAGTTAGGACCTTCATAATAAGAATAGGAAAAAAAAAGACGATAAAGGATCACCTTGATGGAGACCTTTACTGACTCTTAAATCTCTTGTTGCACTACCATTAACCAACACTGACATTGAATCATTGCATACCAATGATAGAATCCAAGATAACCACTTATATCCAAAGTTCACCTTTACTAACAAACTATGAAGAAACTCCCGTGACACACAATCATACACGTTTTATCGTTTCTATATATATATATATATATATATATATATATATATATATATATATATATATATATATATATATATATATATATATATATATATATATATATATATATATATATATATATATAACAAAACATTCATTTATAATAATATAATATAATCTAAAATGTGACATTTTAATATTCTTAATCAACAATATTTATTTATTTATTTATTTTTATTGAATCCGTGACGGTTAAAGTTTAATCAGCCACAATTCATTATTCACTATAACAAAGTTTCTAAGAAATATGTTTAGATATAATAATCAAAAAGGTTTATTTGTGAAACTTTTTTCAATAATATTTCAGTATTAAAATTATAGTTATTCATTAACAATATCACAAATAATTAATTTTGTAGTTTTTCATTAACAATATCACAAATAATTTTCATAAACAATAATTAAAA